CCTGGAGCTGGGCCCTGGTCTGTTTAGGCCTTTGCGAACGTGGGTCAATCGGGTGAGAGTTGCCATGTTGGCACCTTTTTCTCATGTGTTTAACTGGCTGGTCTGGCTGTTTCCCATGCCGACTACGGGCAACCTTGGTTCACTGTTTGTACCACCTGTTGTGGGCCGGGTCACATCTTTTGTGGGATCGTTAGGGGTGGTATCGATTATGTATCAGCTGATTGATCTGTTTGTACCCCCAGCCGTCATTCATATCATAACGCTTTTGTCTACAATACAGTCTGCATATTGGATTCTCTTCCTGCTGGTGCTATCATTTTTGTTGGGCCTGGTCATTGGCAAAACAGCCCCCAAAGGCAGGAAGTGCTCACACAAAATTCTGGTACGTAACCCTGCTTACCTTCCTCACAGACACCCTGCAAATGCAAGCATCCAGAATCCCTGTTGTGGCACTGGCGCTGATTTTACACAGAAATAAGAACTTTTTCTTCCAGCGGACACAGTTGGCCTGTACTACCTCCCTGCAAAGAGAGAACACACACCTAGTATCAGTTGTGTAGACACGCAGGACCATAACATGCAATAGGACAGCTCAGGAACAGAGTACTTGGACAAGAACAAACACTGGTTTTGCTGTTTGTAGAGTGGCCTCTTCATGCAAAACCTGACCCAGGGCCTGAATACTCATCCTTCGTTCTTTGTGTAGAGAGACTAATAAGTGAGTCAAACATTGAGCACAAAATATTAGATGAGAGAAGTTCAACAGCCATGTGTTTTTGCAAATGAATGACACTGTGGTTTCTCCAGTTTGTCTCAGAGAGTGGAGTCTTCCTGAACATTAGCTCCCAGGCACTGTCTTCCAAGCTGCTGAGCTTTGCAACATGCACAAGACACCAACTTTCACAAGCAGTTTTTCAATACAGGGAAGGGGAGCATCATACAAGCAGGACTAGATGAATTTGAGGCCTGGAAAAGTACAAAGGAGATTATGTTCAACAATCACAGATACCAAGTAATGTACTTGAGGCAAACAAGGATTTCAGCTACATACTAGGAGCTTGCCATTTGAGAGCAAAATAAAACAACTAATGTCTGGATGGATTTGTTCATTGCAGGAAGATTACAACCTGACTATATGATGCAGCTGAAAAGAAAGCAAAATCTAAGATGCCTTCAGCTTTATTATTGGTATTATATTATGCTCAGACAGAACACATTACTCTATTTGGGTAATTCTGGTTGAGTAAGAATAGATTCCAAAGTGAGCAGGTACAGGGAGGACAGCTAGAAAATTCCTGCATCTTTTAAGAAAAAATTACATTTATTAAAAGTACACTAAGTAATTAAAAGAATTTAGAGACCAAATAACTTGAACTCAAATGAAAAGTGGTTAGAATGAAAATAAAGCACAACCAAATACACATTCAAAACTGAAGATTACAGCTTCAAGCCACAGATCAAGTTTCTAAGAACAGTCTTTAAATAAGAGAAGTAGGAGCAAAAAAAAATCTTACTGTATTTCAAGACAAGGTTGGCCAGTTTGTCAAGAACAGGGGATATAAGGACTGTGGTTTCAAGGGACCTGCCTCAGTGATCACAAGCACTTTTCTGGTGGCATGTTTCTAAATTCAGAACCTGGAACTGTGGAGAAACTGCTAATTTCAATTGTCAAAGCAATATTTGTCCTTTTCTTTCTCTTCCATTTTTCTAATACATACATTCTAATGTTTTATATTAACTTCTTACAGCAGCCTATGATTGAAGATCCACCTGGTGTCTTTAACAGAGGTAGAATTCTATAGTTCCATCAGAGCTGGAGTCAGAGTTTATCACCTGTGGAGAAATGCTGAATCACAAGGCTCAAGCAAAAGCTCTGATTGCCAGCTACAGAGCTTACTGGCACCATGACCTCCTAAGGTAGGAATAAACTTAACTGCCTAAAATGAGTCAGCTCAGTGGTCAGAAAAGGCTAACGAAGTCTGATAATACACCATCGAGTCATATTCAAGCATGTGACCTAAAAGGAACAGGCTTTGTACACCACAAGCTACCTACCTTTTATCCGTTATATTTTATATTATAAACTTTTTTTTTTGAAAAAAAAAATCCCAAAGTGCTGGTATATGAGTTATGTAAATCCAAAATAGAACCTGAATTCAAAAACGGGCAATTACTAATATGTACATCCTCTACTGGAAATGGGCCCAAGCAAGAAGTCATCAAGTGAAATACAGCTTTAAAGAGATATTTGAGCATTGCTAGTATTTGTTACACTTAGAGAAGGCCTAGGAATAACTTGTAGCACTTACATGATAGTTGCTCAAATCTGAGGTAAAGAAAATAGTCAACTAGATGTCCACTGTCAATCAGAACACAGCTATCCAAGTGCATGGGGATCTGCTGTCTGCATGCAAGTTTCATACATTGTGTTTAAAGATAATGCAACTCCTGAGAATACTCCTTTTCAGCAGATCACAGTGGTCTAGTAACTTAGAAATGAAGTCTTTATATTTTTCTTAGTTCTTTTTTTCCTAAGTATCACTTTGTTCTTATCCTAAAACTGAAAAGCAAAAAACCCTCTTCTCTCTTAAAACCACCACATGAAAAAGAATCTTACATTTTTCATGAGCTGTCTAGCTACAAATTTTTTGATTCAAATAGAGAAGGCATATTTATGTCAGTATCTTAAGTCATTTAATTCAGAGTACTATAGTGAATGTCAGATAGATGGAGAATACTAGAAGCTGTTACAAAACAATACTGATGTCCTCTTGTGATCATCAGAAGCAAGAGACCTACATTGGTGCTGAAAGACAATAGGCTTGCTGAACTTGCTCGTGCTCTCAACCCTGCTGGCAGGTATCCTAACTTTCAGGAGCTTGTTAGACTAAAAAGACTGAGTGGAAAGGTGAACTTGAATGCAGATGAACTAAGCAATATGGTTGGTCAAGATTTTATTGTGCTAAAACCATCACATTCCTCCCCCAAAATATCCCAATCCATAGAGAAAAAAAAAAAAATCCCAGAATCAGATATTATATGTAGTTTCAGCATAACATAAAGATCTCAATTTTAACACACCACTATAATTAAAAAACCTCAACATTAAGAAGGTAACTAAAAATGCTGTTGCCTAAACAAAGTGATTGCTGTAGCCAGGTATCTGTTTTACTGGACTTTAAAGAGCTACTGAAATTAAATCTTACCAGAAATAACTAATTGATACTAAATTGCATGCAATTATGCAAATATGTATTATAGTTTCAAAAGGCAAGAACTCTTAGCAGTCCTCTGACTTAAACTCTGTCTCTAGTCTCTGATAAAGGCGTACCAGCCATGGCTGTGAATCCACAGGGAGCCTGCATTTGCACATTACTATGCATCCAATAAAATTTAGCAAGCATAAAATGTGGTTTTGTTTGTAAATACAAGATAAATAAGTAACATTTGCTTGAGAAATGCAAATAACCTTGAAACCTTTAAGGATTTTAGGTTTATTTAAGCATACCGATAGTACTACACATATACCTTTGTTCAAGCAAGAAAGATAGCAAAAAAACACTATGTTTTTGGAAGACTCAATCCACTCATATCACAGGTTAGGATTTATTCAGACAGATAACTTAATAAACATTAAATAAGATGATCAGGTTTTTAAGTTCTCTACAAACAAGAAAGTAAAAGTTACAGTAAAAAGGCCTTGGTTATAGATACTGATGCTATAATTCTTGTAAAAATAAAATCAAGTAAAACCAGAAATACTCCTTCCTCCTCATAAGGATGTCAAAAAAAGCATCATTAGTTTCTTTCACTGGCACATGATTTTAAAAAACAAGATATTTGAAACATTTGTACACAATCTACAATAAAACCCACCCAGCTGCACATCCCAAACACTTCTCATTCCATAATATAACAAAGAATTTGACGTATTTTAATGAGAGCATTTTTTGTGTACACAACAAAGCCAGCAAGTTATTCCCCTCATGCTGAAAAACAAAAAAGCCAAATAATCAGAACATTTAACTTCGATATCTAAGTTTATAAGGTCCTTAGTTGAAGTGCAAGGCCTTTAGAAAATAAACTGCTATATTGATTGGTTTCTATGGAAATGAACCCAGATAACTTCTTGGCAACTGTGCCTGTGCTACAGGCTGTGCTGGGGAAAGCTTTCCGTTATGAGTCAGTTTCCTATGAGCCTCACAGCCACTTCACCACATGCAAAGCAAATGTTTTATAAATCAAAATACATCGTAGTTACTAAGATGCATTCAGATACACACTAGTTTGCAGGGCGTTGGTGTGACTTCATGAATGCTCTAAGACCTAACCAAGAATAAGTCAAAAAGACGTATTTTAAGAAATTATTTTGGAATCAATTTGTAAGCTACCATCACATTAAAAAATTGTTTTTTATTTAGAGGCTCATTTTCACATAGGCTAAATTTCAATTACATATAAAAAAAAAGCTGAAATCTTGCATCTTATGTACTGTACACAATGATTAACAGAAGTCTTAGTTTTCTCTTCTGATCCACAACAAAGAAAATGAAGAAAACCAACACAAAAAAAACAATTCCTAACCCAGTCAACTCCTCATCCTATTTGTTAACAAGTGATGGGCTCTTTTTTTATGTGTTTATGACCAGCAGATTGTTTGTTCATTTCCACAGGGATAAAGGATATGAATAATGTCTTTTTTCAGCAAATAGCTCCAAACACAAAGATAAATCACTTTTAAGGACCTTAAGCCATGGGAAAAATCCCTTCTTGCAAAATGGAAAAGCTTTAGCAGGAGAGGCATAGAAATAAAGAACGCAAAACACCTTGCAGGCATTTACCAAAATACTGTGTTTCATTAATTAGAACTTTGTTTATTCAAGTCTTTATCTGAATTATTCTAAACAGCCAGTTATAACGCTTAGCCATATGGGGATGATTATATTAAATGGACTATTTTTCTAGTGTATTTTTTTTAATAATCATTAGTTACTGAAGAAAAAAATTGGGAGCATTTGCTTTCAGTTTTAAGACGCCATTCAGTCTTTTTATCAGATTACTTCTAGAAGTACTGTTGGAGTCAATCGGGTCATTAAGCTTCTCCATGGTAAGGAAAGGGTTGTTTGCTTAGATATCTTGCAGCTTTTGCACAGAACTTGAGCTACCTACTCACTAGAAATACCTTGAAAGAATAGCTCTTTCACTCCATGAGGTAAATGGGAATACTATTGCTGTTATTTTTTAAAGCTGGTTGTTTGACAGAAGGGTTGCTCTGGACTTCTAAGAGTTGTTGAGGCCAGGTTCTTAGAGTCCAAAGTGCAGTGAATAAAATGCCTTTAGAAGAGTTACTACCTCTGAGCAAGTACAACTTTTCCAGCATTACACAAGTTTTGCTTGCATCTTTTAGAAGAAAATACATCATGCTGCTGAGACAGCCTGGGGGAAGTGAGGCTGCTGCAGCTCCGCTCCCCAGATCCAACCAGCAGTGAGGCTGAAGGCATATTCCTGGTAAGCACCCACA